TCTCTTTTAGACACAATTTTGGAAAAATTGAATTTGAAAATGAATAATAATCCACAAGAATCCACAACAAAATATGGGACCACCATTGACGCGGTATTTTCCAGATATTTAGAGGATTCAAGTCTCAAACTTATGTTTCTTATTTCAGTTACTATAAACCTATAGTTTCAATGATAAAAATTCCTTAATAACCTACATGTATTGTAAGATAAAAATATTTTTCGTGCAATCGCACGCGAAGTCAGTATTTCGCGTTCTCAGCACAGTCCGCGAAATTTAATTTCGCGGCCGTTACCCATAGCAACGGCTGCGAAACCAAACGTCACTTCCAAGTTTGAATATCACTTCCAAATTTGACATTTCTAAAATATTACAAAGACAAGGATTATTTTTTATTGAATACCAACAAATACATAAGTACTTATATTATTTAGGATGAATATTAACATTAATTGTACAGTTTGTATTGTTACTTATATTTACTCCAGAAGTTGAAGCAACTACATCTAGTGTTTCTGAATAATGCTTATTGCCTACATTCAAACCAGATACTATATCGCCAGAAATTAAGTTGGAAATTTGCTTCTTATTTTCGGGTATTAAAACGGAAATCGCCGAATTTACAACTCTCTTGAGTTTAGGAGGAGTGGAAGGTACTGAAATATTGCTATCAGTATCAAACATTTTGCGTTTTGTCAGGAACTGTCAAAATATTTTGTATGTATTGAACATTTCCACAGCACACGGTGACATTGTTAAATAAATTGAACTGCTGTTGATTTTAGAGCAATAATATATTTATTTACAATTATCTAGTTTAATAATTTTAACGATTGCACGAAAAATAGTGTGTATGCCATGGCCGCGAAACTTTTTAACGACCTCAAGATTATCTTGCCTCGGCCGCAAGCGGCCTCGGCGATAACTATTCTTTCGGTACGTTAAAAAGGTATTTCGCGGCCTAAGCATACAAATAACTATTAAACAATATTAACTTCTCATTTATTCAATGAAAGAAAAAAATTTTTTTCTTATCGGTCACCACGCTCAAAAAGTGTAACTTAAATTAATATCAAAGAAAAAAAAAATACTGCATAAATAAAATAAATAAATAATTATAATTGCATAAGTTGATAAAAAATGTTATGCAATAGCTTTACCGTGGCAGTCCCCGAGTTCCACACGTATTTTTTTATAAATTAATGGACAAATACCATTTGTAAACTATCATTCTCCTCTTTTATGGACATACATTATCATGAATGATTTGTGTTTATGCTATTGGGTATAAACTATTTATGAGATATGAGTGTTTTGCTGCATATACCTATAAACATTAAGTCTAGAACTGAAATAAAACAAAACTAGTTTGCTAGGAAAGATTAAATTCTCATTATTGCTCAAAAACAATTAACATCTTCGGTAAACTATTCTGTTTTATTATATTTTTATATTATTGCTTTTAAAGTAGTTAATACATTTTTTCTATGTAGCAAAATCATAATTTATAAGTTTTATTTGGAGGTTAGGTACATAGTTCACACTTGTTTATTTCATAAGATTGATAATCTCTGAAATACAACACGCATGCTCAACTCTTACGTTACTGATATTTATAAATAAACTTATTTTTATATCCTACATTAAGTTTCTACGGCGTTAAGTTACGTTACGGAGGTTATAAATTATACTTAAGTATTATTTCCTTGACAAGGCTACTAATGTTGTTTTGGTGGGGTTTATACTAACCACCTATTGGCAACATCTTTTGGTGTGTTCTAGTCCTCTTTCAAAAAAAAACTTTCCTATTATGGTGTCAGAAATACGGCTCTGAAGTGGTTTCATACCTTGAAGGAAGGAAGCAACTAGTCGGAACTAGTCACTTTTCCAAATATAATCAATGTAACCTGGGGTATACCCCAAGCGTCGGTGTTAGGTCACTACCTTTTCCTAGTCTGTATTAATGATTTATCGCTCCTTGAGATTTCTAGATACTTAACTGTTTTTATAGACGACGCTACTGTCTTATGGCATTGCAAGGATATAGATTAGGCTGGAATTTCGGTTTCGTTTGTAAGGTTCCTAAGATTATCATCAGTAAAATCCCTTAAAACAAGAGGCGGTGTCACATCGCACTCATTCGAATAAATTAACTCAAAGTAGTCTGTAGCACTGAAATTAATTTTTGGTACCACAAAGTGTCTTACTTTAACGGTCTCTTGACTGGTTTCTCTAGCTTTTAAGATTCTTCGCGGAGATAGTTCCCGAACCCATTCACGAATGTCCGTTAGCATATACAAAAGAATCTTTTCAGGTGTATAATATACATTCGATTACCATATTTACAATACTTCTTAAATCATCTCTTAAATACAGTGATAGTTCAATCGTTTTAAATACATGCAAACTATCACTAGTGGGACTGAAATTTAGTTTAATATTAAACCACACTGGGGCATACACTTTAATTATAAATTCGACCATATCCGTAAGGCTTGATGTTGGCTTTTCCGTACCAACATAGAGCCGAAGAACACGATTTGCCATTGTAGAGTGCGATAATTTCCCAGGATCACAGTGTGCTAAATTTGATGAGAAATTACCGCTTGATATTGCATTGCAAATGTCATATAAATATGATTGATCAGAACTTAAATCTCTAGACATTATAGGTTATATTTGGCAACTCACATTTTATTGGGGTAAAATTTACAATTTTAGGACGTCCACATTTTTCTAAAGACTTCCCGATTTCTGCAGAATATTGACGAGGTCCTACTGTGCTGCCATCTAAATGTTGGAATAAATGTCTTAGGCAATTCGTTGGCGTGTAGTTGGCAAATATACCATTGTAAAGGACGTTTAATTTCAGTCTCAATGTATCTAATAACACCATTTTTATTACCGGTGTTAATAACAGTAACACAGCCGCCAAATCATCCATTTCCATTTTTTTTGTATTGCTTTTCCAATTGACTTTTCCGTCCCTGTAGTTGGAGTTACGTGGTCAATATAGATAGATTCAGGTTCCTCGATAAGCGATATGTGTTCTTCAATAACAGTTTTCTTGTATAATCTACCGTTTTTCTTCTCTGGCAGTAAAGTTTTGTCCTTCCATCAAAATGCAGACTAGTTCATCTTCTGTTGTCACCTCCAAACCTTGCGGTATTTCTAGGTTTCTTTCGCTCTCTTCTCACTTGATTTTTGTCAACTATTTTCGAAGGATCTTTTATGGTAATTATTCCTACATCTTGTAATACTGCACTAGCAATCGTATACAAGACCTAACATTGGTAACTTTGTTCTCATTTGAGTGTTTTTGAGGTAGAGGGTAAGTTTGGATTAATAAAGTCGTCATCTAAAGAGAATTGATATTTTGAGGGGTCAGATTCTGACCCTGACAATAATGTAGTAGTTTGAGAGGAACAGCTAGATTTTAATAAATTGCAAAATTCTGATTCATATTTTTTTATTTTTTCAATTTGTCTGGATTGCCTTTGTTTATTTGACAATATTTTCTTTGTTTCTTCACGATCTACATTTCCTATGCTCATTTTTCTGACCAATCTTTGATTAGAAAGAAAGTGTTCCTTAGTAGTTACTTTCCGGGTCTTTTCATACATGCATGCAGAGAAATTGCATTTACAAGCAGATATGTCAGTAATTTTTTATGACACTCTATTTTCAATGTATTTACCTTTTCGTCGTAGCTGTTGTTTTGCTTTCTTCTGGGATATCTTATTATATTCTTATATTTTTCATAATACTTCCGTATTAATTGCACAATTCTGTCTTTTGAAACAGTTGGAATTGATGCCTTTTTTCAAATGTTTTCAATTTTAGGCACAAGCTCATTGCAAACTTCTAAAAAACTTTGTTGTTTTCTACTATATATTTTTCTAGAGCTAGATTTAGAAAGCAATTTACTACAAGTAGATAATATTATTAAATTTTGCAAAGAGCTAGGATTCACTTCATCAACGAATGTTTATTTTGCACTGATAGAATCTAATCTAAGATATGGAACTCAGTTTTGAGGCGCCTGCAGCAAAAAAGTCTTCAATAGTGAATTTCTACTTCAAAAACGTGGTGTACGGTATCTGTGTCAGGTACAAAGCCGATGTTCTTGCAAACAATTGTTTTTCAAATACAAAATATTTAATTTAATCTCTTTATACCTGTTTAATATACAGGGTGTTAAAAAAAAGTGTCACAAAATGAAATGGTGAATAGTATGACCCAAAATAAGCAGAAAAGTCTTAATACATATATGACCGCAAATTAACGGTTTCGGAGATACGGACCATTTTGTGTTTATAACAATTTTTTATTATTATAAAAAAACAATGATATTTATAAACAATCAATAACAACATAGAGTTAAATGAGATGTTCAAATACTGACGTAGCGCTTCCCTCGCATTGCCATTTGCACGACCGTACATAAAATGCATGTCAGCTAATTCAATATTAGTGTAAACAGGCATAACGAAAATTTATAAAATTATTCACCCACAACAAAATAATAACTGCAAATAGTATCTATGAAAAAACATCGGTAGACTCCGATAAGAAAAGCAAGTTTTTGAGAATGAAAAAAGATAATCAAAAAATGATACAAAACACAAAACACTCCGTATCTCTGAAACCATTCATTTGCGGACATATGTTTATTTTGTGACACTTTTTTTTTAACACCCTGTATAAGAACAGATCTGCTTACAATAATAACCGTACAGGGCGAGATGCAACTAATTTATATCTGCTTACTCCTAAATATACACTAGTTAGGGACTCGCGTATCTATAATGGCAACAAAATGAAAGTTGTCCTAAATCTTTTAGGAAAAAACTTCAGGAACGACTAGCTTGCAAAGCATACTATGACAACATAATATTTTAACGAGGACTCCCTTGATATTCATAATTCTTACACATCAAACGATGCCTAAAAAACAATATTTTTATTATGTACCGTTCATGTCTGTATTATCATTTAAGGTTGTTAGTGGTCAAGATGGCGTCGTGCAGTTACTTCTCTCAAATAATGCTAAAGTACAAACAACTGATATCAACGGTAAGACTGTGCTACATTTGGCAGCGGCGTGCGGCCATTTTAACTGCTTGCACATGATACTTAAATATATGACAGAGGATGAAGTGAGAGCCAAGGACAAGCAGCAGTGTACTGCTCTTCATTGGGCATGTTACAATGGTGAGTTGTACATTTTATTTACAATATTTAATAAAAAATATATATAAATTAAAAATATATTATTTTTTAAAGGAGATTTTCTCAAGTATTATAAAAAATTAACCTACATAAAAAAGGAAAGTGCCTTATTGCTATATCGTTACCCTAATTAGCAAACTTTTACCAAATTCACATTTGCATGCCAACTTGTAGAGAAAAAAACCTCTAATACATGTTTCAAACCTCATAAATCCAGAACTCAGAACAATATTCTGGATTTATGAGGCTTGAAACATGTATTAAAGGTTTTTTCTTTACAAGTTAGCATGAAAATGTGAATTTGGCAAAAAGTATATTCCTCTTATTATATAAGTAATTTGCATTAAAAAAAAATATTTAGTAATATACATGGATTCTCATCTAAAATGCGTTTATCACATTAAATTTGTTAAAAAAATAAGATGATCACTCTTGCCCAGTCCTAAGTGCTAAACTGTCAATAATTAATAGTTACCTAACCTTGCCCTTGTAGTAAGTCATCTTTCGATATGAATTAATTGCCTGGGGGGGAGAAACACAATATTTATCACCACAACCTGGAAATTACTCAAAATTATATTATTAAAATGATATTAATGAAATATATACTTACAAACAAAATATACGACCTGAAGTAACTTCTTCACAAGTGTCATTATTAGACCATGTAAACATAGATCTAATTTAATAAGCGAAGTCACATTTATAAAAATCGACATAAAATGGTATTATTTAAAGTACCAAAACTTGAAAAATATACAGGGTGGCGCATCGAAAACGAAATAGAGACATTTACTGGCAGCTCAGTTATTTTTTGGAAAAACACTCAGACCTTTCGATTTTGTTTTCGAAGGGGACACAAAATTGGCAAAAAATCACGTTAACTACGCGGTGGTGGCACCATCCCTAAAATTTTAATTGAAAAGGGGTCGAATGATTCATTTGAAAGGTCTTTCAATTCCCTTTATAATGATGTAAAATGTAGGTACTTCTCGGTAGTTTTGGAGATTTATTGATTTAAAGCTTAAAGTAGACTTTAATACATCATCATTAGTGGAGATCAATACATTTAGCAGCAGAGTAATTTAAAAATGAAGAATGAACTGACCCGTCAGTAATAAAGATTTTGCTGAAAACGTTGCCGCATATTTTGCAATATTTGAGGAGTAATTTGAAGGCATTCATTCTTTGTCGCAAATCTTCTGACGATGTTGGCTGAGTAGAATAGATTTTGCTTTTTAAGTGACCCCACAGAAAGAAATCCGAAGGTGATAAATCTGGCGATCTTGGGGGCCATTCAATGGCACCTCTTCTACCACCATCCTGTTGAAACATCAACCTATTCGCAATGTACCGCCGATCATTCTGATTTTAAATTATGGCTGTTAGCGCAGGATCTATGGCATCTTGCAGTAATTTCAAATACATTTCACCGGTCAAATTTCCAGGTAAGAAAAAAAGGACCAACTAAATGACAAAATTACCGGCCACATTTAATTTTTGTGGCTGCTGTGTGTATACCTCATGATAAATTCTGGGATTATAATCGGGCCAATATCGGTAGTTATGACGATTTACTACGCCGTTTAAGAAAAATGAACATTCGTCGGAAAAGCAAGTGTTAAATAGAAATTGTTCATCGTTAATAATTCGTTCACTCATATCTTCACAAAATTGTAATCGCCGATCAAAATCGTCTTCATTAAGTTCTTGTATAAGGTGAATTTTATACGGATAAAAACTGTGGGCCTTTAGAATCCGTTGGCTACGTCGACTAACACCACACACAGTATGCAATTTGCGGGTACTTAACGTAGGATCTACATAAATTTGCCCTAAAACCCCCACTTCTATTGGTTCGTTCCTTATGGTATATTCAATGTTGCGTTTTTTATTGGCGACTGATCCATTTCCCCGAAATTTAGTTACAAGTTCTAGAACATATTTTCGATGCCCGTTACTGTTCTCATGTTGCTCATTAAATATTTGTGCTGTTCTATTAGCGCAAATATTTCGAAAAGTTCAACCCCTTCTGCTGTGGAATATACCATGGTTAATTTATGTATAAAGCGTTAAAAGGTGTTTTAACAACAAAGTTTGGTCGAATCAATCGAAAACTGTACTAAATTCCTATTTAAAATAGGTACGAAGCATTCCTTTCTTATCTTTCTTCAAGAAACAACTTTTTAAGCACCAAAAAAACGCTCCAATCGCTATTTTCAACAACAAAATGATAACAAACCATGGGCGTAGTGAAGAAAAGCATTTTACTCAAATTTCTTCTGAAATTAGTACCTGATGTACCTATTAAAGTCTACTTTAATTATAGAGAATAATGTAAAAGGTAACTTTATTCCGGCCTGCGGTGAACTGATTAGATTTTGAGCAGAGTCGGAACATCTGGAGGGTACTTTAGAGGAGATTGTTTTTATATTTTATGGAATATATCTGCTATTTACGTTTGGAGAAGAAAATTGTTTATATAAAATTTACTTCTTATATTATTCTCTATAATTTTACAAAATCTAAAAAATCCAAATTTTAAGAAAATTGTTCAAATAAAAGTTGTTCGTTATATTATTTTCTATAATTCTTATTTTGAGTTAGATATATGTGGAAAATGTATATATTTAGTTTATTCTCTAAACATTAACCGGAACAAGCCTGTAATAACTAGTCATGTGCTGGACATTTTTTTTTTATTGTTTTCAAAGCACAAAATGCGTTAACAAAATAATAGGTAAAAAGAAATCCTATAATGTGACGGTGACACACTACAATAATTTCTCTAAAATGGGCCGTAATGTAGATCAAATTTCACAACAAACCATTCACTGGCAGAAGGATAACTGAAATTGGGCTGGCTGAATAACAAACCCAGGTACCCTTTAACCATATCCTACCCTTCTTTATTTATTTCATGATTTACCATTTACAGTGTTGCCGAATCCAAAATTCTTATTTCCGGAAAAACGGTCTAGTTAAATGCTAACAGAAGGGACAATTAAAAATACGTTTATTAGCAGATGGCATACGGCAAATGGCTGCAATAAAAATTCATATATTCATTATTTTTTATTTAGTGCCATCAATAATAAGTGACCTAGTAAATAGAATAAAATATTAAAATAGAAAAGAACAATATGAACATGATTACTTCGCAAAAATGTTAGCAATACTTCATTGTGCGAGCCAATATGGGTGAAAACTGAATTAACAAAATTATTGAAAAATTGAATAGTTCCAAAATTTCAATCTAAGCGGGAAATTGCCAGTCTAACGGCAACACTGCCAAGTTGTATCTGTTTCAAATTACAGATCAACGATTTCGAATCGAAAACTTCTTTTTCCATTTGACCCTTGACCAAGCTGTCAAAAATTGTAAAGAGTAATATTTAAAGTAACTTTTATTTGACGAATTTTCTTCTCCAAACGTAAATAACGGATATATTCCATCAAATATAACCCCCTACAAAATACGTCCCCCCCCCCGATGTTCTGACTTTTTGCTCAAAATATTATCAGTTCACCTCAGGCCGGTATGAAGCTTAAGTTTTAAATTTAATGTTTTCCTCTTTATCCGTTTTAGAGTTTTCTTCAAAATTCGAAATTTACACATTTTCTCAAATATCTCCACAAAACGTAAAAATCCGTCGAAAACTCGAGGTCGACAAAAATGATTCCTATACTTTCCTTATCTGTATACAGATAGGAAAGTAAAAATCCGTGTCTAGCCATTACATATAGATATTTATTAGTATTACGTATTATATTAGCAACTGAAAATGGATGTGCTCTGGGTTTGATTCAAAATATTTATCAATCTATTCTTATAACTTTCTAAAGATATTTAATTATTGTCCTTACATTGAGCAGCGATTTTGAATTTCTTTTAGGTTATGCAACTTGTGTGGAGTATTTATTAGAAAAGAAATTGTTTAAGGAATTGGAACAAAATTCCTTTTCACCCATCCATTGTGCCACGTAAGTATTCCCATTTGCCTAAATTCAATTGCTCTCATTATGCATTTTAACAAATATTTTTAAAGATTTTTTTAGTTTTTCAGGATCTGACAAGTGCCTAGAATTATTAGTCAATTATTTTGGAAATAAAATAGTAAATTTATCGGATTGTCGGCATAGGACACCTTTACACATTGGTGCCCTTCACGGACACTTGGAATGTGCTAAATATTTATTGGAACAAGGTGCTGACGTTCAAGTTTTTGATGAAGAAGGAAGGGCCCCTTTTATAGCTGCAGCACAATACGGGCAAACACAAATCGTTGGTAAGGTTTTTTATAGCTTTGGGCTGGTTCAGAATATGTATAGTTCCATTCTGGGATATGATTCTGACATGCCCTTAAATTATTCTGATTTTTTTTAACGGTGTCAACGGAAAAGTTGGTTATATTGATAACAATGTACTATTTGACAATTAATGTAATTTTGAAAAACTTGTGGGTTTTAGAGCCTTTTAAGTAAATTCTGAATTATAAACACAAACAATCCTTGTACTAGACTCTCCCATAATTATTTGGCAACTATGTTGCATAAGAATGTGAATACTTTGGCAATTCGGTTTTTGTATACAAAATTGGTACTAATAGTTGTTATTCGTCGTTGGAAATTCATTTTTATTTATGGGCGTCATAAAATGAAAAGTTACTATTACAAAACTAATTGTTGATATTCAATACCAACCTTTCAAGAAAAAATCAATCATTTACATATTCAGAAATTTTAGCAATTTTTTAATGAAGAATATAGTTCACAATAAAGGTAAATTACAAAATTTAAGATTTATTAAGGATTTAAAATGTGTGACGTAGCCAGGAACTGACCAATACAAAGTAGCTGATTAGACGGTATACGAGAAGTACTTAGTTTGTGTTAAGGACGGCGTCTGACCATATCTCGAAACTTGTTTGTCTGAACAATTTCGCATTTTTTTTACGAAATCGTTAAAAGAAAATAAGTACTTAAAAATGTTTTTAACTTTGTAACTTTCCGCTATGTCACGTGGTATATCCTTCGAGCATAGGTATATCGCAAACAAAATATAAATGTGTTTTATAAAAAAATCTTTATAATTTTAAACCAAGTTTTCAAAAAAACTAAACAATATTTTGTGTGATGTGTTTCATTATTTTTCTGTTAGTTGTACGCGTTGTAACGGAAAGACAACATGTAAATATATTTAGTTTTAAAAAAAATTCCTAGACAAGTTAATGCGATTATATGTTTAGATACCAAAAGTCAAAGTAATCTTTCAACTACTTTAAAACAACTCCGTCTCTTAAGAAATCTTTACAACCCCTAGGCACACTTCATGAACGGTTTTCAATATTAAAATTAATGTCAAAAGATGTATATTTTTCCCGAAAGTCAACCGCGCATATACGGCAGATTTCTATGGGCCAACGCCTTAGTTTAAAGAGAACGGAGATTTAACATTGCACATAGCGCATATTGTCTATTCCAACCTGAAGTAACCCACCAATTAAAAATCATTGTTTCCACGACGCCACCCGAAGTGTTCCGACATTTCCATTTTATGCTCAACTGCGCGAGAGTGAATCATTATGGACCGCCGTTTTTTGAATTATTTGTTGGTGTTAATAGCAATTTAAAGTGTTTGTTATTTAATTTCAAGTTGAAAATGCCACGATATAGCATGAAAAATTATATATACTTATAATTATAAGTGCAAATGCTATGAAATATAAGAAGTATATTCGTTTTCAGCTGTAAATATTTATTACCGTTTTGACATAAAGCCGCTATGACCCTTTAAGGGGTTTCAATAAACATTAAGCATCAAATATTTCAGAAAACAGATTTCGTAGTATTTACATAAATTTACTAAAGGGTAAAAGTTTGAACATTTAATGTAAATAAGAAGAAAAAAGGCATTGTTGACAACGAAATTTTGTTTTTAAAAGGTAGTTTTAAAAAAATATTTACTAAAGGTGGTTTTTAGCCCTTTTTGATAAATAAATAAATAAGAAGTAAAAAAGCATAGTTGCTAGCGAAATTTTATTTTTATGGGGTATTTTTATAAGAATATTAGATAAAATACAGGATGACCCACTTAAAATTTCAAAGTTCATCTTATTTGCTGTCAAATCGGATCTGACATTTGAATCTTAAGTCTTAAAACCAATTAAAACGCACAATATGATCTAGTATAAGCTAAAAAATACTAAAGTTACAGGAGTTAGTCACATTGTTGATAAAATGTTACTTTATAAACCCCTAAACAACTCGAAAAAAAAATTTATTTACTAAAAAATCTAAATTCTTGCAATATTTATTATACATTCGAATGCGATTTTAAGGATGAGATAAAAAAATGCGAATCTCTAAATTTGCTAGGATTAAATTGTTATTTTTTATGAAAATCGATTATCCGTTATAATTAATCGATTATTTTCAATAAATTATTTTTGTTATTTCAAATATAATTGAATAATATATTTTAAAGGAAATACACAAAGAAAAAAAGATTTATTGATTTTTTGAATTATCGATTTATCTATTGGTTAATCGGCTTTTTGATTAATCGATTATATTCGATTTATCGATTATTTTCGAAATTTAGAAGATAATCGAATAATAAATTTTATAGGAAATGCCAAAAAAATAGACTATTTGAAAATAATCGATAATTCGGTTATTTTTTTTTTTTTTTTAAATCGATTTATCGTAGAATCGCTTCTTAATTAATTATTCGATTATTTTCGATTAAGCGATTATTTTCGAATTATAAATTATTTTTGATTAATCGATTATTTTCGATTTATCTATTATTTTCGAATACCTAATCGATTATTTTTGATATTCAAGATAACCAAATAACCGATTTTAAAGGAAATACGAAAAAGTTAGATTTGATAATCGATTATTTAAAATAATAGATAATTCGGTTTTTTTTTTTTTTGAAATCGATTTAACGGTAATCGGCTTTTTAATAAATAAATTATTTTCGATTTATCAATTATTTTCGATTTTTAGAAGATAATCGAATAATCAATTTTAAAGGAAATACCAAAAAAAATAGATTATTTGAAAATAATCAATAATTCTGGTATTTTTTTTGAAAATCGATTTATCGTAGAATTGGCTTCTTAATTAATCGATTATTTTCGATTAAGCGATTATTTTCGAATAATCGATTATTTTCGAATAATCGATTATTTTCGATTGATCGATTATTTTCGATTGATCGATTATTTTCGAACAATCCATTATTTTCGATATTCGAACTAATCAATCGATTTTAAAGGAAATTCGAAAAAATAGTTTCTTTGGTAATAATCGATTATTTAAAATAATCGATAATTCGTTTTTTTTTTCAATCTATTTAAAGGTTAATCGGCTTTTTAATAAATTATTTTTGATTATTCGATTATTTTTGATTAATCGATTATTAAACATTAATGGCGATCGTATTTTTAACAGTAACTTCTATGCGCAAAAGTCGTAAATAAAGAAATAATGGTGTGAAATACATTTTCTTGATGAAAAGTGACGTGTATAGATGGGTTGTAGGTTAATTATTATTATTTTTTGTTTTATAATGCTTTTCTAAGATTTATACAATTGAGAAATTTATAGATATATTTTATGTAACGTTTTTCAATCCTGAAGAGCTTAATCAAAAATGTTCTCTGTATTTTCTAATAAACTCCTTTATGCTCTGAGGAGGCATAAACATATCTAAATTTCAATTCTGATGTCGATTTTGTGGGTTAGATCATCTTTTTTTATATTGACGACCAGTGACGGATTTAGGCTTGCTGCTGCCCTAGGCCCCGTTTGATGCGTTGCCCTTTTTGATAAAATGAATTTCTTTAATTTTGAACCAATATTTTTTTATTTTAAAATAACTTTATTTGTTGAAATATAATTTTTTAAATGTAACTAATAAACATGACAGATAAATAAGTTAAAACTTTAGACATAAATAATAAATATTTTATTTAATATTAATCAATTTGAAAATTTCTTTTTCCTGGCTTTGGTCCGCGCAAAAATGTGGATTATAGCTTCATAATTAATTTTTTGGGCTAGTTGCTTGCGCGTAAATAGGTTTTTACCCTTTTTAGAGTGGAAAAAGATCCTCTCTCCTGAACGATTTGTAGTTGGAATACTCAAAAAAATACGGAGAACAATGTAAAACAAGTGTAAAATAGACATACATTAGGCAACCACGTCACCAATTCGTGAATCGCGCGTGCACAAAATGTGTCTAAAAAGTATAACTCGAAATACAGTGCGGGGTACAAACGTACCCCATTTCGCGTTTTATTTTTTGTTAAATAAAAATTATAAGTTGTATTTTAGTAAATCACTGAAAAATATATTAAGAATAATTTAAATCGGCATAGCAGCAAATTGATATTTGATGAAAATGTCCTGGGTTGCAATTAAATGTAGTAACTAGTTTTTAAATATTTTAAATTGTCACAAAGTGAATATTTGTATTTTAATTTTTTTTTTATTTGTATTTTCAGAACTTTTGTTAACATGTAATATTGATCGTACTACTTGTGATAAACTTGGCAATACTGCATTACATTGGGCTTGCCTGAAGAAGCACAACCAAACTGCCTTATTAATTTTAGAAGATTCTCAAGGAGACACCATTATCAATGTATTTAATAATGAAAAGAAAACGTAAGTATTTTTTAATATAACCTGTTCAACTTTTTTTTAATACTATAAATTTGATAGCACAGTAATAATATGTAATAATTGTTTGTTGAATTTAATGAATATGCGCTGTATTTCATACTAATAGTCCGGGAGATAACGGTAGATTTTAATGAACCATTTTCGCAACCTTTATTTTCTAAATATGACTTATTAAAATTGCATAACAATAAAGTTATCGTCTTCCATTTCAGTTGTACGTCAGAGGGTTGTGGGAGGGTTGCAATTCCATTAAAAAAATGATAAAAAAATTCATTTTCGCATGCAGTATTCGTTCAACTATCGGAGAGTGAGTGCAGTTGAATATTTCAAAAGACTACTCGGAATCTTCGTCAAGATCAATCGCCTGTGTTTATATATGTGCTAAATTGTGATCGTTCAAAAAAAAAAACTGATTGCTAAAGTTAATGTTTAAAAGCAAAAGTAAAAATGTTCCAATAAAAATAATTTTAAAATGTGTAGAGAAAATCAACAAAATCGAATCTTCTGCAGCGCAAAAAAAACTGATATATAAACAACAGTTTGCGATGACGAAGAAAAAATGGAGAAAAAATATAGAGATATACCCTTAAAGAAAGAATCAGCTATTTAGGGGTTGACTAAAAAATTACAGGAAATGCAATTAAGAATACAACAAAATGGAAATGATGTTAGGTATGCAAAAACAACAACAGCATATCGAAACAGACTCAGAAGAAGAAATAGTCAATAAAGAAACAGCTTGGATAGTACAAAGTAGCAAAAGAAATAGCAAAAAACGAAAAATGCGAGAATCTCCTGAAGTGTCACCTCAAAACACAACCGAAGAACAACACAACGTACAAAAAGAAGCAAAATTTAACCACCCAAATGAAAACGCTCAACAAAGTATTGCACAAAAAAACAAACAAAACAAAAATTACCACCACCAATAATAGTAACTCAGGTCAAAAACTTTGAAGAGTTAAGATAAAAACTAATAAGTAAGCAACACAATTTTGTAGCTAACGATGAAATCAAATTAAACCTAAAAGATAAACAAGAATATAGAACAAAGATAACAGATCTCTCAAACCAAGGCTATCAATGGCATTCATAGGAGATGAAACAAACCAGACCAATAAAAGTGATGGCTAGAAACCTACACCCTACCTGCAAGCCAGAATATATAGCTGAAGAATTAAAGCACAGTAGATTTAAAAACTTGGATGTGGTTAATATTCAAAGAAGATAAACTAAAGAAGAAGAAAGAGGAAATCAAGTTATAAGAACTGCTATAAAAAAGCCATTGCCGCTATTCATGTTAACATTTGAAAACGGTGAAGACATTAATAAAAGGATTTATGAAATTAAGACATTACTAAACCTAATAACCCAAATTGAGCCAGTCAGAAGCCCAAAATTGATACCCCAATGCAAACGGTGCCAAAGATATGGGCATACTATACATTTTTGTAATAGACAACCAGTGTATGTTAAATGTACCAAAAGCCATCTTACAGGAGAGTGTAATAAACCGGTAAGTGTACCACCAAAATGTGCAAATTGCAATCAAGCACATCCAGCAAGCTATAGAGGATGCGAAGTGGCAAAGGCGATACAATACAGAAGAGACCAGGTAAGCAAAACTAACCACAATAGAAATAATACCAAATCTAGACGACCTATCATTAATAATGCACAAAGAATGACAAATTTGACATACTCAAACGTGGCTAGTAATAACAGACCTAATCAAACTGAGGACTGCCAGAGGACGCTTTAAAGCGTTCGCGTTAACTGCACATGAGTACCGCTTGCGCTTCAAAGCACCCACGACTACCTGTTGGTAAATGCGTAGTAAGTAGGACTTCGGTACTTAGGTGACTTCAGGGTTAAACTGATCGGCAGTGAACGTGTTAATACAATTTTAGACAGAATTACCAGATTAGAGGAGGCCACCTTCCCCCAAACGTCTAGACATCCTTAATGGAGCGTAAAAACGTAATCTTTGTATCAAGGAATGTCAATGGACTCCTTGACCATCGAGAAGAGCTACAAGTGTTCCTAATAGAACAAAGTATCTAATCTGTCTAATATCAGAAACGTATTTAACAAAACAAAGCTATATACAATTAAAAGGATACAAAGTCTATAGTACTATACATACATCCCTCGGATACCGCTAGAGGTGGAAGAGCCGTAATAATAAAAGAAAATATTAACCATTATGAGGAGAATAAAATAGGAACAGAAGAACACATATTTTAGAAAATTGATGAACGATAAAAATACTGATTACTCTTTGTGGAAAACGACTAGGATACTTAAACGTCCAATGATCTATATACCACCAATAAGAGAAGAAAACGGAAACTGGGCAATATCAAATAAACAAAAAGCTTACATCTTTGCAGATCATCTCGAAAAAAATTTTCAACTGAAGAAAGAATGAGGACTCGATTTATTAAAACAAGAGAACACAAACATAGTCCTAGAGTAACGCCTAAAGAGGTAGCTGAGGAAATCAAAGAAAATATTAATTTTAAGAAAGCACCCGGGTATGATCTGATTACAGGTTAAATACTAAAACAATTGCCAAGAAAAGCTGTGGTTAAACTTACTAATATAATAAACGCTGTATTTCGACTAGAGCATCTGGAAAGTCGCTGAAATTATAATGATACCCAAACCTGGAAAACCACCAAATGAAGTAAAGTCTTATAGACCTATACTGCCCTCCTCCTAATACTAGTTGTCCTATGTGCCAATTATGCATTTTGAGATATTAAAGTTTTAGTGTTTATGCATATATTTTGGTTGTTTTCAATATTTTTTTCTTGAAATGAGAGCAGAATGTAAGTAAAAATAAAGTATAGTATGTATGTTTACCTGTTGACTAAATTTGAAGGCATACTTTGATTGCATTGGTAGATAGGACAATATCACCAAGTAAAATACAACAAATTTCAGAGCATATTTATTTTATTGTCCTAAGTGAAGTAGGTACCTACTAGAAAACATAATATATTTAAGCATAAGAAATACAAGAAATATGAAATATTGTATCTATACGTATAAATTACTAGTCATCAATACTGGTATTAATATTGTCATTCACTGGTAATTTCTCCCAAAACTTTATTCTATTTTCGGGTATATGAGATTTTAAAACTGTAACCAAATTCCGTTTTCAGAAGTAATACCGTGACATTGTGTCTCTAATACAGGATCACTAAATGGCCGTTTAATATATTTTTGGTCTTTTTTGAAAGAAAGTGCAACAATATCTCTAAAGTAAATTCTGGGAGCAAGTTTCTGTAATTTATGTTTAGACGTATAATCCATGAAATAATAAAAGTTATTAAGATTAATTTGTACCAGTACCAGAATTTGAACTTTGAACTATATTCTCAAAATCTTCAAAATCGTACACCTTCTTTTTTTAATGCTAGTTCAACTTGATGAAATGCGTCAGCAGACATAAGTGTATGTCCTGGTTCGAAATACTTAACTTCTATATTTTCAACACCTACTTGTAACGAATTAACAATATACAGGAAGAAATTAAGAAGGGTCTAATTCTTATTTTGCGAGGAACAATTGTCCAGCCAAATTACAATTGTTTTTCTGTCTGTTAGCTAAAAAGAATGCATAGTAAGCAGATGCAATATCATCTTTGGTGCGACCGCTTATTGCTTCATGTCAAGTTATTGCGTAAGGATGTGATTTACTCTTCTTTCCTAAAGGAACCAAACTTTCGTTAAATGCGGTGATCCTTGGAGTGAATATAATTTCTTTAAACATATATATGCGTGGAAGCATGATGTCCTGCAAAAAAATTACATCGTATAATTTTGGTCAAAGCGTGGCATTTATATTATACCTTTTGTAAATTTGCAGATACAATAAGATGTTCAACACTAGGAATGTATTCAGCGTCCTTTCGGTACTCTTGTCTTGCAGATATTGCCTTTAACTTGTGTTTTCGCAGACTTCACATTCTGAATTAATGGTGCTATCTTTAACATTGTGATGCGTCGTATCTTTGTGTATGTTAAAAGCCTAACATTCCCAACACTCCTCATGTCCGAGTTTTGTAAAGGAAATGTTAAGATTTGCAACTTTCTTTCAATATAATTCGTAAGAAAAGTCGTTATGTGGGTAGTTTCCCTGGAAATTTTTAAACTTCAGTGTTATGTAAATATCGCTTGGCAGATTTGGCGCATGTTCTCTGCGATAGTGAGAGATTGTGGACCGAAATGAGTAAATGTGATTTACAATATCTTTTCTGTTTATTGGTCTTGAGGCTGTCCGCTTCTGAGTTCTTCCTTCGTGCATTGGTGCTTTTAGATTTTCAGGCTCATAGCCCAATGTTGACAAAATATATCTTTTACATACTTCAACATCTTCGCATTTTCATTTTTTAAAGTATATTTAAAAGTCCAATTTCTTCTGGAATTATTCCCAGATTTAGCTGTTTGCCTCTTTTTTTCCGATTTTTCAACGTAACTCGCAACAAACAGCTTCTGCTGGTCATCGGATAGTGACCAAACTTGAGAATTAATATTTTTTTGATTGTTAGAACCTCTATAAAATGCCTAATGTTATTATTTTTAAGTTGGTACTGTACAATGACAGATGACATTCTTGACATTATGTTTATTGATTATTCTGTGTGTGAAGCCCACTGTTGCTATTACAATAAAAGTTAATCCTGATTTTATTTAATTAATCCTGTGTGGATAATTTACCTGTGTGATCTTATGTTCAACCCTCGGTCAGGTTTATTACATTTCAGAAGTAGGATCTGAATGCCATCACGTATTTTCGTAGATATTCGACTTCAAAAAAAATACGGCGTGTCGGTTCGGTAAAACTTTCAAACTATTAATAAAAATAAAGGTGAATAAACGTTAGAAAGTGGACCTTCTGTGTGCGGTCTCAAAACTCTTAAACCTGTGTGAATTGCTAATAAACAGAACTGAAACTGTGTGAATTCGAAA